GTAAAACTTGAAAAAGAAAGAAAAGAAAGATGGAAGAGAGAAAAGTAGACAAGCCAACTGAAGAATAAAATCAAGTTAATAGAATTAGGTAGAAATAAATAGGAAAAGACAAATAAGGAAAAGGGAAAATATGAAAAAGTAAAAATGAAAAACAAAAGATAAAAGAGAAACAAAACCAAAAAAGAACAAACAACAAAAAAAGAGAAATGAGAAAGAATTCCTTCATGTGTTTGGGTAAATTGTTTCTTTTTAGGCTCTGTGTGCTTTGAAACCCACCATATATAATGAGGGATAATAAGTTACAACCAGGACTTATTTTGTTTCCATACCCACTTTTTGTTGTGTGAATGCTGACTTGCATCCCACCTTTCCCACTGGGCATGGCCAGTCAATGGTACGGTGTCTGCCTTAGGGCTGTATTCACTCCAGGGGCTCTTAGTATTTGTGTCTTTCTGTGCCCATGAAGTCACTGCTACCTCTGACTAGCTTTTTGGCCTATAGGCTTGGGAGGTGCCTCTCTTGCTCCAGGATTTGGGCAACCTGGAGGCCATGCTGGAAGTGGGCAATGAGGGGGCCAAACAGTCCACTTTCAGACCCAGCCCCCTCAGAATGCCACATGACTGGCCTGGATTCTCACCACCAAGGGTGAGACCACCATGTCCCTCACAAAGTGAGCTCACCACCACTTCTCAGGGGATTTGCCACTAACCTTCTCCACGACTGTCTTGTGGCCATCTCCCACCCAGTCACTTGGTTTGGTGACCCGAGAGACACTGAAGTATAACTGTTTTATGACTTCTAATTCCCAGAGTAGTTCAATCTTAATAAACCCATTCCCCACATGGCTTCTGATTATATCACTCCCAAGTATGGTGGGCACTGCAGTAAATTTCTCATCCAAGCCTAGCCTGCCACGTGGAAGGAGTTATTTTCAGAGTAAAACTCCATGCTGTATTTTCAACTTAAAACAACTATGGGCTTTTCTTCAGACCAGCACTGCTGGTGTGTTGTTCTCTCTGGGGCTGCTGATCTTCTCTGTGCTTACCTTGTGTTTGCGGAAACATGACCTTCTCCCCAGGAACCGAGGTCAGTGTTCCAGACTGTTTGGTTCTTTTCACGGCATTGTCTTCAGTTTCTCTGAAGTTTCTAGTTTTCCTATTGGCTCTTTCTTGATTCCAGAGCTCTGCTTCTTTTTCACCTTATTAGTTGCTCTTTTCCTGGTGTCTTGATTCCAAGTCACAGAAAGGCTGTATTTTGCTGCTGGCAAACTCTGCCATTTTTAAGCCTCGTCTTTTTTCTTCTCCTTCTCTTCTATTCCTCTGTCTTCCTCTCCTCTCCCTTTCTGTTTCCCTCTTCTCTTTCTCTGTCCCTCCCCCCTCCTCTTTCTTCTCCTTTCAAAAGGGAAATAATATAAATTCTTTAAAGATACCAACTCTCTTAGTCCATTTGTGCTGTGGTAACACAGTCTCTCATATGGGGTAATTTATAAAGGAGAGAAATTTATTTTCTCACAGGTCTAGAGACTGGGAATCTATGATCAAGTTGCTAACAGGTTCAGTGTGTGGAAAGGGCTACATCCTGTGTGTGTGTGTGTGTGTGTGTGTGTGTGTGTGTCTGTCTGTCTGTGTTGGCAGACATCGTGAGCTCACATAGCAGAAAGTAGAAGGACAAGAGAGCTCAGTGCTGCATGAGGCCTCCTTCAGAAGGGCCTTAATCCCAATAATGAGGGAGGAGATTTCATGGCCCAATCACCTCTTAGAGGCCCCACCTCATAAAACTATCACATAAGCGACACCTGAATTTTGGCGGTGACACATTCAAACCATGGCACACATAACAACTGTAAAGATAAACAAACATGAACAGAAATGAGGAACACCAATCTGTAGTTACTTCTGAGGGAAGCAGGATTGGGACAAAGGAAACGGGTTCTTCACCTCAAGGGGTGATGTTTTATTTGTTATGTAACAAAAACAGAAGTCAAGGAACCTAAAACAAATAAGGCATAATGTTAAGATTTTTGGCAAGTTAAAACAATTAATTAAATAGGGCATTTAACAGTTCTCAGCACATAAAAACTATTGAAGTAAATAAAAAAAGGCAGAGAGGATTAAGAGAGGGAAAGAAGGAACAAATTAAACTCGGTAGATGTCCTGAGGGGTCCTGAGCAGCTGCCAGGGCTTGAAATGATGAGAATGACATCATTTCATATAGGAGATGTTATTTTAAAAATCAGTTCCGGCATGAGTGAGAGATGATGTCTTGGCCTAGGTAGGAAAGCGGGCCGAGGGAAATAGTAGGATAGAGCTGAATGACCTGGAGCCTTATTGATGTTAGATTCTTGGGACTAAAGGAGAGTCACCTGTGCTGAACATCTTTACCCAGAATCAGATCACACCATACAGGAACTCTGAAATTGGAAAGCACACCATGCCCTTTATGAATCTGAGGTTGCAGACTGGTTTCACTAAGTTGTGAAGTAGACCAAGAATAGATGGGCAAGATAGAGGTGCCTGAACTCTAGCAAGTGGGCTCTGAAAGGTGGACTTACAGAACGAATGCAGGTCCAGCCATCATCAGGTGTCCTGGGCCAGGGTGCCATTAGCGATTAAGCTGAAAGCTGGGAGGAGAACTGTATTTGATAGATACTTAGTGTATTAGTCAGCTTTTCATCACTGTAACAAAATTGCTGACACAGGCTGCTTATGAAGGAGAAGTTTATTTAGTTCACAATTTTGGAGGTTCAAAGTCCAAAAAGCAGTAATACAGGCTCTATGGTGAGGGACACACCTTGGCTGTATTATCTCATGGCATAGATAGCAGTGATTGGAAAGCTGCAGGAGCAAGAACATGATTGCTTCTCAACCAGGAGCAGAGAGGATGGGAGGGGCCAGGCTCACTCCTTTTATAACATCCCTCTTTTATTTTTTTTTGGTACTGGGGATTGAACTTGGGACCTTGTGCTTGTGAGACAGGAGGCAGAACCACTGAGCCAAATCCCCAACCCAACAGCCCTCTTTTGAGAACTTAAGGGGTTGTGTGGGAACTACCAATGGGTTACACAAGAACTACACCATGTCCCAATAACCTAAAAGCCTCCCAATAGGCCCTGCATCTCAAAAGTTCCACTACAGCCCAATAGTGCCTCCTTGGGGTCTAAGCCCTTCACACATGGGTCTTTGGGGGGACACAATTAGACCACATCCAAACCGTAGCTGGGGGGGGCGCTGTGTAGCAAGTCTAGAATAAGCAAGACAAGACTAGAAAGGCATCTGATCTGGGTTCCTGAAATTGTGGTACAAAAGTTCATGTTCACTGAATTCTAGACTGTAATAATGAATATTTAAGATAGGAAAAAGCTAGGATACAGGAAAAGAACTCTGCTTTGTACAAGCCCTTTTATACTTATTTTCCTAAGTTGGTGATGCTCACTGAAGGATAAAAATTGGTCCAAAAGACTTAATTTAAATTTAGATGATTTTTTTTGGGGGGGTATTGGGAATCAAACTCAGTACCTTGCACTTGCAAGGTAGGCAGTGGAACCACTAAGCTAAATTCCCAATCCTAAAGGACTTCTAAAAACAACCTTGATCTCTGAACTTGGTTGGATGAGCCACAACTGAATAAAACCACACCTGACCTGGGATCCCAGCTGGTGCCTTCTTTTGGACTTGAGATTGAATTTGATTTCTCCCTTCCTCTCAGCAATGGTAGATAGCAAGCTCACACCAGGGGGACTATTTTCCATCCATGTAGCCAGTTTCCCAAAGTGATGTAAAAGTTCACATTTTTCAAAACCATCAAAATACAAATGCCAAGTAAGATGTGGTCATACTCCACAAATTCAGCTTCTGTGTAAATTAAGCAATTTATCACTAATTGGTGTTGAGATAACTAAGAATCCTTGTTTGAATATCTATTTTTCATTTTCTATTTGTGTGGGAAATACCTTATCTTTCAGCTTGGTAAAGAGTTTTCTGATTTACAACGATATCATCATAATTGAATAATGAGATGCTGTTAGCATGTTGTTCCTCTAGTTACATTTCTAAAAAAGTAAATAAGTGCCATTATTTCCATTTTTAATGTAAACAGGATGGTCAATTTTCTCCAAAATCTGTCTCTCTTATAATATGTGAGTTTGTAAATTAAGAGAGTTGGAAGTGAATCTTTTACATATTTGGGTGGCGACCATTACAATAAATTAGAATTGCTCAATGAGACTTGTAGAAGTGGTGAAAATACAATAAATCTTTCTATTGATCAGAAATTTAGGGTGTTCAGAATGAACAGATAAATTTGAATATCTTTGTTAATATCCTCCTAAAAGTTTTGATGGTAAGAAATTTTTTACCTTGATTCTGACTACCAAAAGATACTTATTTTGACTAAAAAATGTATTAATTATATTTTCCTCATTCTATATAAATGTAAGGAAGGTGGGATAGCATCCAAAGGGCTTCTACCACACTCCTATTCCTACTCTCCCCCTCTTCTCCAAAGCCTTTTGGGTTCAATGGATGCAAAGAGTTCCTAGGATCTTTGTAGCTTAGAGATGATAGCAGCAGATGAAAAAATGTTCACCCTGTTAGAAAGAAGCATATGAGCAAGATATATCACGCATAGGTGCAAATTCCCTATGATGAATGTTATCGTTATGTATATTTAAAATGTATCAATGTTTTGCTTCAAAAAGAAAGAAACATATGAAAATCTTAAGTGAATATGCATCAAATCTGAAGAAAAGGCTTCCTAAGCCAAGAAGTAGGAGTTACAATAATGGAACATTTTGTTAGATATCACTGCATACTCTTTTTTCCCCTTTCTCTGTTTCATCTCTTTTGTCTGTCTCCCCCTCTCAATTCCTGCCACTATTTAAGGCATTGTCATTTCTCACCAAAATACAGCAGGGATCTAAAAACAACACAACAACAAAAAACATAATGAACAAATTTAAGTCTCCAACATGAACAGATTTTGCTCTGGGTAGGATGGGAACTCACTGGAGGGTGGAGTGATGGAGGGGCTGGGACCTGACCCAGTAGATCACAGGCCCATCCAGGCTTCTGGGTTGAGCATAGATGGTTAAAGGTCTTCATGGAAACAGGAGGCTGGTTAGGGGTCATCCCTAACTCAGGAGCAGGAGCTGGTGGGCTGGTGGAGTGGTGATGTGGGAAGGGTGGTGCCATGGGTCCCAGATACCTCTTGAAGGCTGAGCAGACAGAATCCACCAATGGACTGGACATGAAGCGTGAAGCACAGAAGAGTAAAGAGTGACCCCCAAGCTTTTACATTTGGGCACCTGGAAGAACAGAGGTGCCTTAAATGAGAGGAGGAAGTTGTATCTAGGGCAGGGCAGTTAGGGGGAGAATTTAAGAGCTTGGCTTCAGACATGCTCATTTTGACTTAACTGTTAGACATGCAAGTGGAGATGTGGAGAAGGCACATAGGGTTTAGAGAACAGAATGAAGGACAGGGTGAGAAGTCAGAAAAGCAATAAAGTCAGTGAAGGTTTAAAAAATTCACAGAACCCAGGTATACTGACACATACCTGTAGTCCCAGCTACTTGGAAGACTGAGTTGGGAGGACCACTTGCACCCAGGAGGTCAGTCTGGGCAACATAGGAAGACCCCATCTCAAAGATGAATGAATGAGTGGGTGAATGAATGAATGAATGAATTCACAAAGAGATAAGGCCCCACTAACTTGAGTCTTGGGCCATGTAGCCAGAGTGCAGGGCCCAGGCCAGTGTCCTTGAATTTCAGCCACTGAAGCTGACTTTGGCCAGACAGATGGAACATCTCTATCATCTTACAGTAGAGGAAGGGTAAGGAATTTTAAACATTTACTCTGTTCCTGGCACTGTACTAGGCACTCTGGATGCACTGCTTCATTTAATTCTTTCAACACTTATAATTAGTCTCATTTTGGAGATGACATAACTGAAATTGAGAGTAATTAAGGAGCACTAATGTCCAAGAAGCTGGAAGTCAAACCCAGGACTGCATGACTGGAATCCTCATGCTTTTAACCTCTGTGTGTTTCAGTTTGTTACTTCAGAGCCTTCATAGATCTCTTCCCAAGTAGAATTGCACAGATTTTCAATACCAATTGCCATAGCTTCTCCTTGGCTCTGGCTCCTTTGTCTTGATCATTAAATTTGCTGTTTGGGATAGAAGGAAGGAAACTTCATCTGGGGTATAGTTTCTGCTGTTATGCACAAGCACTGTGGACACACTGTTTAAAACCTTTAAATGTGCTAAAACTGGGGGAATCTTTGTAAAGGCATTTCTATTTTAAAAATAATGACAATTCTATTTTGCCAGATATTCTACCCACATGTTAAATTTCAGAAAAACCTATTGATCTTTTCAGAAGGGAAGGGTAAGAATTCTGTTTTCTGCACAGAGTCCTTCTAATGTTTGGCGAATGTGTCAGACAAGTCAAGTAGTTGAGCGGGAGGTGTCAGCAATAGAAATAGGAAATAAGTCTGAGCCCAGAAGTGGGGAGTCATGTGGCAATTGTATTTAGCAAGACAGTGTAGATCACAGGGCTCATGCTTGTGAAGACATGGATAAAATGGAGATTAGACTGAAAGGATCATTTCACATTTAATAAGAAAACACCTATTTATTTCTGTAATCTCAATTCCTCCAATTTTAAGATAGAGTTCTAAGTTGGAGCAAGATCCATGCCATGAATACATACTTATTCCCAAATCATTGTATTTTAATGAGACATATATGACCGATAGTGGAATCAGGCTGCTTTTGTTGTGTCTAGTTGTCTAGTCATCTGGGAAAAATTGGTCATCTATTTGAATGTTTTGAGAAATATGAGAGGAAAGATGGAGTTGGAGATCTTTGTCCAGGAGCTACTTGTGTTCTGGTTCTTGCTGGATGTGGTGGCACGGGCCTGTCATCCCGGCACTCTGGGAGTCTGAGGCAGGAAGATTGCAAATTGAAATCACCAGTGATTTAGTGTCTCAAAATAAGAAATAAAAAAGGGCTGGAAATTAGCTCAGTGCTAAGCCCTGGGTTCTATCCCCACTACTGAAAGAAAGAGAAAGAGAGAGGAAGGAAGGAAGGAAGGAAGAGGTTCTTGTAGTATTGTTCTTGCTCTCACCTGTAACTCCCAAGCCTTGGTGCTGGAGGCACTAGAGCTCTGCCCTCCTGGCTATTCGTGCCTTCACACATGCTCCTGTTGTCTTAGAATCTGTGTGTGGTCTTGGTGCGTTTGTCTAGCTGGCCCCTAAACCCAAGGGAAGAAATTCTGAGAGGAGACTTCAGGACCTCTCTAGGAAGGCCACTGCTGTGGTTTAAATATCAGTTGTCCTCGCAAGTCCCCTCCATCCTTTAAACTTATGCAGGAGTTTAATCGCCAAAGTCACATGATAATGATATTAAAAGGGTGGAGATGAATCCGACTGTGGTCTTCAGAAGTGGGAACTTGGGATGTAATTAGATTAGATTAGGTCATTTGAGTGAATTCTGGTGGCTTTATAAGGAGAGAGTGACAGATCACATAGACACAGAGCTATGTGCTCATTCCCCCTCTGATGTAATGCAGCAAAGAGTGGCCCTTGTGAGAGGCTGCACCATGCTGTCTAGATTTTCAGCCTACTGAATGGTGAGCCAAAACAATCTCTTTCCTCTATAAAGTAGCCTACTTCTGGTGTTCTGTTATAGTAACAAAAAACTGACTAATAAGGATTGAATGTAATGTTATAGTGAAAAGAGCAGGTTTGAGGATAAATTAAGGTAAATATGCTCTTTGGGAGGTGGTAGGTATATAGTTGGGGACCACAGAAATACACCCAAGAACTTGGAAATGAGAGAAAATAGAATGGGTTCCAGATATAAATGATGAAATCTAAAGGAACTGAATTAAGGCTGTGTTCTCTGTTGTTATCTTGTAATTAGGGGAGTTCCTGGGAAGGTCTCAAAAAAGCTGTACTTTCTTTTTTTTTTTTTTTTTGGTACCAGGGATTGAACTCGGGTCCTTGCGCTTGCAAGGCAAGTGATGGAACCACTGAGCTAAATCCCCGGCCTTGTACTTTCTTTTTTATTTGAACAGCAAGAAAAAAAATTGCCATTTATTAAGATTCAACAAAGCATTGTACTTTTAAAAGCAACTTTTGGTGCATGTTCTTCAACAATCACATTCTATGAAGAAAAATATTAAGAGCCACAAATTTGTTTTTTAATCTCAGAGTTACACATCTTAAATTCAAAATAAAAGGTCAAAACAAAAAGGAAAAGAAAAAAAAACCCAACAAAAAGTGGAAACAACAGATTCTTCTATCCCCAATTCTGAAACATCAGGAATTTTTCTACAACTCAGTGCTAAAAGGCAGCATGGCAAGCTGTATGCCTGGGTGCACATGCACATGCACATATTTGATCTACAGACTCGGGTATGTGTACATCAAATATACAGAGTGCACGTAATGGCAATGAGATGCAGTCACTCTGAGGAAGGTTTAGCTAAATACACTATGAAACTTGAGCAAAACATCTTGAGCCCAGTTTGTACATAGTTCCTGATCCTCTATAAAAGAGCTGTACTTCTTAGAGGCAAGACTTATCCACTCAAGGTGGATGGGGAGATGACTCTGAGAATCCTGTCAGAAGGAACCAAACCTTCTCATACCTGGTCTTGGACTTCTAGCCTCCAAATTGTGAAGGAATGAATTTCTCTTGTTTAAGTTACCCACTCTGTGGTTCTTTTTTTACGGCAACCTTAGGAAACAAATACATCCTTTGCCAGACTTTTTACTGGGAAACTCTGAATCAAAGCTGTATTTACAATTGACCTGGCCTCCAACATTGCTGCAAAAGCCAGGTCCTAAGACCATAAAGCCATCTGTGTAGCCCTACGTGACTTTCCGGCTGTGGGGAATTTTCCAACAAGGAGAAATATTTTGTAGCCCAAATAAGTTTTGTCTAGTGCTTTTGAAAGAAGTTCTTTCTAGATAAAAGGAGCATTTCAGGGTATGTATACAGAAGGCATTAGCACCAAAAGATATCCCTAAAGACAAATTATAATTTTCTTAAATGAGTGTTTACCATTTTGCCCCAAGCATATGTTAACTTAGCCTGTTTATTTCATTGCTTTGCAAATCTCTAAAAATTTGTTATTTTGGGATTAAAAAAAACTATATACTAATGTTTCAGTAAGAAAGTTTAGACTTCTTTTTTTTTAGGTACTTTGGGACTGAAGCCAAGGCCCTCAAACTGGGCTATATCCTAGCCCTCTTTTATTTTTTTGGTGGGGGCAGGGTCTCAATAAATTGCTGAGTTGCCCAGGCTAGACTCAAACTTATGATATTCCTGCCTCAGCCTCCCAGAGTCCTGAGATTATAGGTGTGTGCCAGTATCTCCAGTTAGGACATTTTAAATTATTTGTACAAAAATGTGGCATCAATTTTTAAATGAAATTTTGAATGCCTCACATATTTAATGCAAAAAGAGCTATAGCAAATTATCTCAGATGATTCAGAAATGTTTGTTGGCAGCTTTACTTTTTGGTACCGGAGATCGAACTTGGGTCCTTGTGCTTGCGCAGCAGGCGGCGAAACCATTGAGCTAAATCCCCGGCCCCTCACTCAGAAATGTTTGGTATCAACCTAAAAAATGATCATCAAATTTTGACCAAGTAAAAAACGTGGAATTACATGAAGCATAATATATGCTTTTATCTACACTACTCACTTCCAATGAAATAATTATCTACATTTCTGAAAGAGTCCTTGTTGCACAATTGCACGTGCTTTTTTTCCTAGACTTACATTTATAAGTATTAATTCTGGAAGCATTTCAGTGAGGCTGACAGATTTTCTCTCATTTTGTTGTTGGAAAATGCTGAGACCGTGCAAAGGCATAAAGAATAAAAATTTCAAAAGGAACATGAACTGATGGCACCTTTTCTCTTCTCATTCCTTCACAGATATTCATTTATTGAGAGCAGCTCTCTTGTCCAATTGCTTTGTCAGTGAAGGAGACCTAGTTCACTTGCTTCTGACACCCTTCTGTGCTGCGTGCTCTGGCATTCATTTCATTAGGCTGCTGTCTTAGTCTGTTTTCTGTTGCTATCACAAAATACCTGACACTAGGTAACTTTTAAAAATTAATTTATTTTTTGCAGTGCTGGGGATTGAACCCAGGGCCTTCACATTGAGCCACAGTCCTAGCCCTTTCTTCTCATTATGTTGAAACAGGGTCTCACTAAGTCATTAAGTTGCCCAAGCTGGGATCCAACTGGCAATCCTCCTGCCTCAGCCTTGCAGAGTGCTGGGAAAAGGGCCTGTGCCACCATGCCCAGTTTAGGTAATTTGTAAAGATTAGAAGCTTACTTGGCTCACAATCCTAGAGGGCAGGAAGTCCAAGAGCATGGCACTGGCATCTGTTCAGCATCTGGTGAGAGCCTCCTTGCTGTGTAATAATGGGCCGGAAGGGCAAGTGAGCAAGCATGAGGAGACAGTGGCAAGAGGAGGCTGCGCTGACAGCAAACCTGCTCTTGCCACAACCAACCCACTCCCATGACATAACCCATTCATGAAGGCAGAACCATTATGACTTAATTGCCTCTTAACGGTCCCACCTCTTGATGCTGTTACAATGGCAATTACATCTTAACCTGCACTTTGGAGGATCATTCAAGCCATAGTACAGGCAGAAAAAAAATCTATGGAAAATTTAAACCAGAAGCTGTCATGGAGTGTAGGACCCCAGGCAGCAGCAGAGTGGCAGCGAGTTCAGCTTCTCACGTGGCCACACTTCCCTCTGGCTTCTTCTTTTGCCCAGTTCCCACCTCAGTGGCTGTTTTTCAGATCTCTTTCACGTATCTACCTTGAAATGATGTGTTACAAGTTTCAGTCTTCCAGGGAGAGTGATGGTGCAGGGGTGACTCTGCTGGTAAAGGGGCCCCCACATTTCTAAACCTGTCATTCTTATTCCTCTCCAGAGAGAGGCGGGAAGACCACTCATTGCAAAGAACTGCTGAATTACTTCTTGGTGTTTGAGTTTGCTGCTGTGACTGGTCTTTTGTTGAGAAAGGCAGTGAGTTTTATCAAGTTTCACCCTTTGCTTTGCAAGTCTAGAGTCTGGGAATGGGAGTCAGAAAGAACAGGGTTGCAGCAAATGCAGACTGGTTTTGAATCCAGACTTCTTATTCTGTTTCCAGGGATGTTTTCTAGCTGAAGGGCCCTGGGAAGACTTTTGAACCCTTTTGGTATTCAGTTTCACAGACTATAAAATCATAGTGACGACAACATCTGCTCTAAAGAAAATGCTCAGCACAGCATTTGGAAAAAACAGCCAGTGCCCCATAGGTGTTTCTTATATCTGAAGCTGAGTCAGTATGCTCTCCATTCATAAGACTGTTCTTAGCATCTGACATCTAGTCCCTCATGCTGAAAGAAAATGCCTTCCAAACTGCACTGCAAGCTGCTAGAATGTAAAGGACACAGAGTTTGTCCATAGTCCTCTGTGAAGCCAAAACTGCCAGACTGCAAGGGACAGCTCCCATGTGTCCTCTGGGGCCATCAGTCAGGAGATGAGTGTGAACATTGGTGTCTCCACAGACACGAGCTCTTAGCACACAGTTGTGCTGTGGGGACTGCAGGTCACACTCAGGCAGCTTGGCTTTCACAGGGAGAGAGCTGGTCTGGCAGTGCCCTCAGAACACCACCTGGGTGCTCAGCACCCTCAGACAGACTGGTTAACAATTGAGGAAGGAAAACCTCCAGTTGGCAGATAAGCAAAGACAGGTAAAATCAGGGCAAAGATTCAGTGAGCCAAATCTGTTGCCAGCTGGAGCCTAGTTTACCCTGAGCTGGGCTGGTTTCCCAGATGTGGTCTTTAGGCAAGTGAACCTTTCCACTGATTTCTGCTATTTAGGGACTCCTTGCAGAGTGTCTGGTGGGACTGAATGCCATCAAGTAAGTCATCAAATAGAGTTTCACATCAGACCTCTGATTTTAGGAAGAATTATGAATAAAGATAAATGCCAAGCGCTGCTTCTTGGACTAAAATACACACAAATTAATCCTAATTCTCAAAGCAAGATAATCTTCTTATTTCAAGCCAAAATGCCTGTGTTTTTTAGAAAGACAAACATTGCATGAGTCTACTTATAAGTGATATCTAAAATAGTCAAATTCAGAGCACCTCAGTCGATGGGCAGGATCATCCACAGAGGTAGTTGCCAGGGTCTAGGGAGGGGAAAATGAGTATTTACTAATGAATGAGCCCAGAGTTTCAGTTAAGCAAGATGAATAAGTTCTAAAGATCTGCTGTATGTTCTTGTATCTGTGGTCTTGTATGCTTAAGCATGCTAACTATATATCTCATTAACTATACTATAATATATAGTTTATACCAACCACAATAAAATTTTTAAAAATTGCTTATCTGTGTTTTCAGAGAGCCTGGAAAGGTTGGACAGACAGCTGGGGCAAACCGTGTCTTGGCAAGGAGTTGTCCCTGAGAATGAATAAGAAATACATGGGAATTCTGAGATTTAAAATTAGGTGGGTTTTTCCCCCCTACCACTTACTTTTTATAGTTATTTAGAAGAAATCTGCATTTTCCTCTTGGAATGTGCTGTGCCTTTGTTGGCCAGCTCTGCACACCAGTCTGCCTGCCTGTTTCCACTAGCTTGTCATGCTCACTAATTAGAGAGCTGCCGCCTGATTCACCTTGTTAATTAGAGGGACTTGAACACGGAGGCCTCCGGGCAGTATGCGAGAGAGCCTCGCACCAGTGCCCCGAGAACGATGCAGTCTGTGAAGTCATTCTTCTCATCTACCTTCTATTTTTCATTTGAAATGAATAAATCATTGAGATTTTCCTTGTGGAGTGAGAATGCAAGAATTCACATCTTTGTAAGATGTAAATTACATGTGATCAATAGGAATGGATGGCTCGTGTATTGTACTTACATGATTTCCTAATTTACTTCTTGTCAGTGTCTGGAAAAAAAAATGGCCTGGAATATTTGTCTCCTCTCCATGAATCTGAGCCCTTCATCTGGTAAAAGAAGGTGTTGGGTGAGAAACACGGCAGCTGCCTTTTAGCTTTTGGCATCTGGTCCAGAGGTTTGTGCTTCCCCATGCAGAGGGAGGGGGAGCTCTGGGAACCAGGTCTCAGTGAGGCGTCCTTGGACCACCCGTTCTCCGCAGTCACCCCTGGGGCTCATCTGCCCAGGAAGAAAATAGGGTTCAGCAGGTGATTTCGACTGAGATATTCTTTTTGTACTAGAGGACTCCATTTATCAGAACTGAGGTTTTAGGTATATCATGTGTCTTCCAAAAAAAAAAAATCTAATTTTTAAGAATAATGCCTAGGCTTGGTCAGACAATAAACCAAATCACAGAAGCAGTTGTGGCTTTAAATAGTATGCTGCCTCCTTTTCCTATCTTCATAGGACACTTTGGACACTTGGTTTCAGGGCTTTCTTTCTGACTCTTTGATTAAAATTAAGAATTGTAAGCTAGGAAAAGGCAGAAATTTCTCATTGGTGGAAAAGAGGTAGCTAAATTTTTATTTTTCCCATGAAACTATCTTGCAGCCTCTGCTCAGGAGCCTGATTAAATAACCACATTACCAGACTTTGTAGTGAGTTAACATCTTCATCACAGTTAGCCGGGTTGCCTATCCATAGCATTTGCAGTAATTGTACACAATCACTTGCAGAGATACTGGAAAAAGATATTTCTTGAAAGAAAGTAAAGAATTTCCTACTTGTTCTTCCTGGGAAAGAACATGGACCAGGGACCTTATTTCCTAGGATTTTCTTTGCACCCTCTGGGATGGCAGCTATTGTACCCGTGAGCTTGCCTTGCATGCTTGTGGTATGCAGAACACAGCACCATCCTGATGGACGCCCAGGACAAGAGCACTCTCTCCCATTCTTGGGACTGCATAGGCAGATGGAGGCAGGAGCTGCACAAGCAGCGATAATCAGCACAGTGTGGCAAGCGATTGGGGACCATCATGACTGCACTAGGGGGGAGACTGAAGTCACAAGGAGAGGGGACATTTGTGAGGGACCCTGGAGGATGAACAGAGCTGGCCAGGTGGAGAAGGCCTCCTAAGTGACGAGCACAGCCCCCAAAAGGGTGTGGACATGGCTGGCCCATTCCAGGCTGTGAGCAGCTTGGGGAGGTAGAGAAAGTGCGGCAGGGAGACAGACAGCTGCAAAGGTAGGGAAGCACCGCTCAGTTCCCAAAGGGCTGAACTTCCAGCCTTCGGATGGACGTGACCTGGGCAGGCTTCTCAGTGTAGTGTCACTTAGTGTGTGCCTGATATGGGCCCTGTTCCGGGGCTGGTGACCACCTAACAGGCTTCCTGGCTCAGCGAGAGCCTAGGCAGGCCTGTAGGATGCCGTGGGAAGGTGCAGAGCTTCTTTAGCACATTTCCCTCTGCACAGCTCCCACCGTGGGAGCAGGTGGCATCAGATGTAAGGAGTCAAGGGCAAAAGCGATGGTGGACACTGACGTGAATCTAACAGGCAAAATAAGCTTCCTCTGTTAGAACCTCAGCCTGTTTGACCTTGAGAATTTCAAGTTTCATTTTCTTTTTAATGGAGGCATAATAATTGTACATATGCTGAGCTGCAACATGATGTTTTGATACATGTGTACATTGTGAAATGGTCAAATAAGTTAATTAGCATATCCATCACCCCAAATATTTATCATTCTTTGTGATGAGAATATTCAAAATCCTCTCTGCTAGCTAATTTTAAACGGACATTATTGCTAACTGTGGTCACCCTGCTGTGACACCAAATACCAGAAGCGAGTAAGAATCTCAGTTGAAGATCTAGGTTGCAGCCACAACTCAGCAGCACTTCCAGCATCTTGGGTTCAGGTCCTCAGATATGATCTGAGCACCTGCCCTTTGCAGGGTCAAAGCAGATAACCAAGGATAGCCAGATGAAAAAGATTCCATCTGCTGCCTGTAAGAAGCTTGCGAGAAGCCAGGTGTGGTGGTGCACTCTGAGAGGCCAAGGCAAGAAGATTGCAAGTTCAAATCGAGCCTGGGATACTTCATGACTTAGCAGGGCCCTGTCTCAAAATTTAAAAAATGATAATGAAAAAGGGCTGGGGAGGTAGCTCATTGAAGGCACTGGGCTTAATCCCCAGTGTGCATTTGCGGAAGAGTTTTCTGGACAAAGAGCTGCAAGTGCAAGAGCAAGAGGTTTGGAAACGTGCAGAGCGCATCCTCAGGCTGCAAAGACTCATTAAATCCTGATTCAAGGAATGGGCTGTAGGGTGTGCAGCAGGGCCCAGGGCAGAGAGGACTGGAGGGTTTGGGGCAGAGTGCAAACAGCATCAGATCTGAATTTATAAAGGAGGGCCCTGTCCCCGACTTCAGGGGTACAGTGCTGGTGTGCTTTTCGTGTCATTTTCTAAGGCATTGTGCCATGCAGTAGTAGAGGTTTTAAAACATCCAGGCAAGAGATAAGCAGCATTAGAACCAGCAGAGATGAGAAGAGATTCAGAGGTGG